GTGCAGTGACAGCATCAGCAGGCTTTGACCCTGCATAACATGCTGCCTGCAAAATTTTTTTTTTTTTTAGTTCTTCCTGAAGTCCCAACCCTGGATCATAGGGACTCTGAATAGGACCCACACCTCCATTTGTTCAGGCATGAGAAGGTCCTGGGGGTAGTCTCCCTTTCCTTAGGATGCCTCAGTAACCATGTGAGTAGCACCATCTCCTGTCCCTCTCACCTCAAGTTTCAGTTCACCTGGATGCTTCATGGAGGACACTGGTGACAGTAGTTTAGTGTCAGCTGCTCTGAGGCAAACCTTGGGGAGCTCCTTCTGGCATCCTTACCATGTAGACAAAGGAAAATGGGAGTAAGAAGTAATTAAAGCCTCCGAGAGGAAAAGGGACAGTGCAGCGATGGAAAAGGCCACTCAGTAGCTCAGGGTTCTGGAGTTTTAGATTCTAGGTCTTCTAGATTCCAGATCTTAAGAAACGCAAAGTGTGAGCAGGAATGCAAAAGGGAACAAGAACTTCCAGGAGGGACAATCTCCAGAAGAGGTTGAGGAGCCTTGCTGTCATCAGTCCAGTGTCAGTCACATTTCTTGAGGACCTACTGCGTGTGAGCCAGGTGCTAGCTCAGTTTGAGGTTCTGAAGATGAATAAGCCTAGTTTCAGCCCCAAAGAAGTCATGGCTGCAGGGAAGACAAGCACTGGAATCAGTGCTTTCTATAACTGGCTTGTTGCTGGCACTCAAACTGGTCCAGGATGCCCATAATGGGCACTCCTACCCAGCCTGGGGGTCCAGCGAGGAGTTTGTGAAAAGGATAATACCTGGACTGAAGAGTATATTCATTCATTCATTTCTCTTTGTTTATTTGACAGATGTTCAGCAAGTATCAGGACCTTTCAGATGCTGTGATAGATACAATGACATACACATTGTAAGGACAGAATAGAAATCAGAAGAAAACAAAGCAGCTATGAGTAGGCAGAATCAGTGATGATATTTGAGAGCTAATCAAAAGGCTGTCATGACCTTCCAATACCTATTCCTGAGGCTCTCCTGGATGCTTCCATCATTAGAGATTCTTTCCTTGTCTGAGACCCATTCAGTCTTGCCTCTCTGGTGCATTACAAATACCTTTTGACACAGGAAAGGCCAGCAAGTTGCCTGAGGGTACTTGGTGCAAGGTTGGGCTGTTGGATATGTAGTAAGTATAAGAGAAGAATAACCAAGGACAGATGCCTCTCTTACTCTCTCCCTGGACGTGCCTGGAGCTGGATTTTGCAGGCCCAGTGATCTAAGCCAGCTAATCCTGCTTGCACAGGGCCTAGGATGCATGCTGCAGACAGCCCCTCAGCCCCTGTCCACTGTGAAAACATGGGACACCCAAGTCGAAGGGAATGTTGAATGACACCATGTGGGTGTGCAGTGGTCTGTGACCGGAAGGTTCGCTGGAAGCAATTTGCAAAGGAGGCCTTCGCAAACCACCTGGATGCTTATTGTAAATTAAAAAAGGAAGAGATGCCACTTTTTTTCTGAATAATTTTTAATACTAGGTTTATGGCTGGGTACATGTGATAGTCATTAGAGCTTATTTAACTCTGAAATTATCTGGCCCCTCAAACTCCCCTGGGACTGTAGGAATCATGGGTTAAATTTTAAAAACACTGTCAGAGAGAAGATGATATGCCTTTCCTTGAGGAAAATAAATGCAAAACTAAAAAAAAAAAAATCCAAAAAAACAAAAACCCCAGCCCTCCCTAGGAAGGGTCTTTATTGTGTCCTCTGTTGGCTGTGTCCATAAGGTGTTTAGAAATTCACCCCCGGCACATGGAGTTTACTTTTATCAGCTCTTGCGCTTTTCAGTCTCTGCAATTCCAGTTGTGCCTTTTTTGTCGTGTTGTTTTGGAGAGAGTCCAAAAGCATTTTGAACTCCGAGCTCAAATCTCAGAGGTTTCCACCTCTTTGGAGCCGAATGTGTCATCAGGAGCTGGGAGTCCATGAGTGAGTTACACGGAACAGCTGCACAGTACCCGCCACCCTCTCCCCAAGGATGACAGCTCTGCAGAAGAGGGTGTTGTAAGCATTCCTGAGCCAGCCAGCTAATCCGGAGGCCCAGCCTGTGGCCAGGGGCTCCTTCTCCAAAGGCTCCCACTAGGATCTAGCATCTTAGGGACTCCTATCTGCAAAGCACCCCTTCTTCAGGGGAGCAGCTTGCATGAGGAAGGGTGGGGAGGAGGAGGGTGGACAAGACCACCCGAGGGCCATATGGGCAAAAAAGGAAGCGCTTGAGTCGGAGGGGAATTTCCTTTGGGGAACAGGATATTCCCTATCATTAGCTGCTCACAGGAAGGAAAATGGGGAAAGCAGGGTTTCTTTTCAAGTGAGGAGACACCTAACAGCCAGTGATAATGCTTGATTTGGAAAGGCAGGAGGGGATCTGACTTTCCAACCAACAGTTCCATGAAGTGAAAATGGAGCCGTTCAGACCCCATTCAACTCTGAAGTCGATTTCAATTCTGGCCAGCACTCTGCTGAAGTTTTACCAGTCTGTCAATGCGCTGTCATCAGTCCACAGTGTCAGTCGCATTTCTTGAGGACCTGGTGGCTTAATGGCATCATTCTCCTCAGATACAGTCAGGCATCTCCTGGTCCTTGGAGTTTGGGCTCCAGAACACCAGACCCACTGCTCAGCGGCATGTGGGTCCCCGGTGCAACTCTAGGTCCCTTCCTCCTCATGACCCTGATGTTCATGGGCCTCATCAGAGGGCTGTGCCTGGCTTCAGCCAAAGCTACCATCCTTGCTGCTTTCCAGGGAAGGCCCAGGACAGCTGCCTCTGTATCATCTTTACTCTAGCACCAGATCCCTTTTGCACAGGATCCACCTCACTAAAAAGCCTCAGGGGTCCTTTATCTGGCTACTTCACCCAGTCCTTGTGATATTGTATAAGAAAAGTCTTAGAGGGAGCATTTTTTCCCATTGAGTTCGAAGGAAGATAGAAATCTGGAAACTTCTACACATATCCATTTTGGTCTATCTATAATAATAACATAAAGAAACATTTAAAAATATGAAAACTAAGGTGAAGGGAGGAAATTGTGGTGGGGATGGGGGAGTGAAACAGGGAGAATAAAAGTCCTCATTGCCACCCAACATGGTTCATAGCTTTTTTAAAACCAGAAAGTCGTTTATGTAAAATCTTGTCAACCTGCCTTGAAGTGTAAAGGCTTGTAGGAGCTATTGAAAATTTTGTTTTATTTATTCCCTGCAGCAGAAGAAAAATCAATGGCTGCTTGGCGAGTCAGACGTAAATGAGTTATACAGGCCACTGACATGGTGGACCAAACTTTATAACAACCACATTCGCTGCTGTCAGGCCACAGGCTTCAGTGGCGCCAGCTGTAATTATGGCTGATCACCTCTAATTCAGAGCTGCCTGCCTTGATAAAGGTGTCACTGGGAGCCACTGTGGCATCAGCATCAATTGAGGATGTCATGCCAGAGGGCAGTCTGCAGGAGAAAGCTCTTCCCGCCACAGCCCCCAGGGGTCATGCACACGGTTGGACAAATCTTGCTTTTTAACCCTTCATCCTGAGTACAGAGATGGTCCCGGAAGCTGATTTAATTTCCAAGGGATTCACAGGAACAACCCTGAGCCCCAACAGCAGATAGGTTTAATAAGCCGAGATTTCTCCAAAACCAGAATTGGGAAGGCAAGATCCACTCTCCTCTGCAATGTGCATAGAGACAAACCTTTGTATCACTTACCTGATTCCCTGACCACAAAAGCGATCAGGGGCAACAGATTGTAGAAAAGCTGTGATCATGTTTGAGGGGGAGAAAAAAAAAATTGCAGCTTAATGCCTTTCTTCTGCTTTTGTGGTTTAAAAAAAAAAAAGAAAAGAAAGAAATTCTCGTGAATTTCCCTTTTTCAAAGTTTTTTTTTTTTTTCTTTTTGAAAGAGGCATGAAGGGCAAGGGGAAATAGAAAGCTGAGTGGAGATGGGTTAAAAAGCCTTGCTAACAAAGCCGCTAAGTGTCCCAACCAGGTCTAGGAAGTGCGAAGCAATTAAACGGGCTTCACTGACATTTGTGAAGGATAAGGTTTGACTCCCCCCTGCCTCCCCAGGCTGGTTTTCCAACCTCTGTAATTAAAAAAGAGACACACATACTATTTGTTCTCCCTGTACCCTCTCTAGACTCATGGACAGCCCCACCCACCCCCTCGCACTCCTGCAGCAAGAAAAAGGGTGGCCTGTCTCAGAGGGACCTGTTTGGATCCCCTGTTTGGACAGTTCACCTGAGAGCAGCCCACTGGTCTCAAAAAGGCAGGGAGGTATTTTGTAGCTAGGGTCCTTTTGCCTTAACCCATCAGAGGGCAGCCAGCATAGGCCAGTGCAGAAATGGCTGTGATTTTCACAGTCCTTGATGGCTCCAGACACAGGCGCGTGTTTGGAGCAGAAGTGGTTTTGCCCTATGCTGACAGGGAGGTCAGATGCAAAGGAGTCTCTGGAGGGGAGATGGTTGGCATTCGGCAACAGAAAATCCCATCCGGATCCAGGAAAAAAAAAAGGGCCCTGGCCATGGAAACCCTGTCACCTGGTCTTTTCATTCTAGGTTCTTCCAACCTGCGCTCCCTCCCTGCTTCTCCATCCCTACATGCTTCTTCCTTGTTATTTCCCCTTTTGCAAAAGCAGGGGCACTTAAAAAAATTAACTTTTCATTATTATTATTATTATTTTATCAGGACCATTGGACCCCTGGCTGCACACCCCAGGGTCCCTCCCTGAGCTCTCTGATGGCAGCTCTCAGACCATCCCGAGGCGGCACTGTTTCCTCCTCTGTTTACCCGTTTCTAAGGGCAATTGCACCGAGAAGGCTCCCTGAGCCTGGAACTCGGCCTGGGGCTGTTTTGGTTACATTGAAGTTTTTGCTTCAGTTCTGCCAGATTTAAATGGTGACTTCACCAGCACTGAGCTAAAAAGGAGAAGGGGGAGGAGGGCGAGCCCAGGAGAAAAAGAGCGAGCGAGCTGGAGGGAGAGAGCCAGAGCTAGGCGCTAAAGAAGGGCCAGAGCATTACATCATCACTTGGCCTGGAATCAAATGGGAAGGATATGACTCACTCAAGCTAGTTAAGCTTTGGCTCAAATTCTACACACACTCATTCCAGAGCGCTCATGTTCTGCACCTCAGGAGGGAATTCAGCCTCAGTGATGTCCATGAGGTTTGTTTTTAATTTTATTTTCTTTTTCTTGATTTTAGAGAATTTTTTTTTGCCCCTACTGCTTTCTGTTCATGAGACTTCATCCTCCTCCTCCTCCTCCTCTTCTTTTTCTCCCCCCCACCAGCCCGTTCGCATTTCTGCCCGTCTTTGTTCCCCCTCCTCTTACTTCTCCTCTTTCCCCAGCCCCTCCGCTCCTCTTCTTGCCCCGAAGAGGCATTTCTTTTCACTTTGATCAGAGTTTTTTGTTGTTGTTGCTCTAGTACAGAGACCTGAATGAGTTGAGCAGAGACCAGGCTGGGCACAAAAAAAAAAAAAAAAAAAAAAGACAAGCAAACCAAAGCCACAGGAGCAAAAAGGCCACAAATAAAAAGGGAAGCAAGCGAGAAAGAGCAAACTCGGTGGAAGTTTCTTTGCTGCGGTGTCGCTCCTAATCAGAGGAGACAGGGAGAGAGTTAAAACGCAGGGACCAATCGCTCGAATGGTGATGTAATGCAAGAACCGCAGGGTAGTTAAGTAACGTGAGAGCCAGGGGGTCAGGGTTGCAAAGCATTTACCTGCTCTCAAGGGGTTTTCAGTTTATTATCAATTGCAGTGACTGTAACTGGCTTCAGACTGCAATCTCTAATTATTCACAGACGCCCCTTTTTTATCTTTTATTATTAAAAGTAAAACTCTATTATGGTATTTTAAAAAACATGATATTATCACAGCTGTGTATTATTTTCCACCAGGATATATTCCTTTCTCTCTCTCTCCTCTCTCTCTCTCTCTCTCTCTCTCTCACTTTTTCTCCCTCTCCCTCTCTCTCTCTCTCTCCCTCTCCCTCTCTCCCATTTAAATGGCTCAAAAACGGTTGTCTTTTCGTGAAGGGAAGGGTCAAAGTGATGGTGTGTGGGTATGGGGAACTTTTTGAGTGTAACTGGTGAATTATAAGTGACCAGAAAACTATTTGGTGGGTTGTACTGCATGTGAAAATGTTATTCCACTTATTATTAAGAAATGACTGTGTGGATTTTTAAAGTAACATATGATGATCCTTAAAAGTCGTTATAAACCCTCACCTGTTATTTCAGCTAAGGTGAACAGCGATTGTGCATTCACTTGAGAATTTTAACTTTCGGTTGTTCCACTTGACAGTGAACTTAATCCAGGGCTGTCTTTGACGACTCAGATTCCTGAGTTAATATGAAGATAATATGTGGGGGTACCGGGAAGGATGATAAAAACTTCTTGATTGATTTGTTTCAGGAACAGCTAGTTAATGTTTGAGAGTAAGGAATAAACTGTTAATGCATGAAGAGGGGTCAATGATACTGTTCCTGATGCTTTAAGGATCTCACAGTGAGAGAGAGATTTTTATGTTTTGAAAATTATTCCCACATCTCTATTTCATAAAATAGATCTAGCATTGCCCAGGCTGAGTGCGTTTTGAAAAAAAAAAAATCCAGCATCATTAGTTACAAACAGGTGGTCTCTAGAAGGCAGTAAGCCTAACACCCACTACTGGACTCTGGGTTCTCCTGAACTTCTTGTGGCCTTTTTAGTCTTGACCATCTTCAGCTGGGTGTATACTAAGGTGTGGGGCACTTTCATGATTTTTTTTCCATGCATGTTATGGATGTGATTGATCATTTATGGGTCTTATCCCCTTGGTCCATTTTTGGGCAGAGGAATGCGGGGGTAGAACTAATTTTTGGAGGAAACAGCTTGATCAGGTAGAAGATGAGAGGCTAACCCTGAGCTTGACCTTGAGGACATCACTTAAACATGGGTGGGGGGGGGATGCTCTCTTACAGTGAAGGACTTGAAGAGATGGGCAATAAGCCCTTCCCTCCCAAATTGACCTTAGGTGATCTTTCAACTCACTTCTTTCTGGAAAGTTCTGGGTCTGTTTTCTATGTTGTTGGTTTTTGAGTTTTGTTTATCTGTTTGTTTTTGTTTTGGGTAATGCTGAAAGGTACTTGGCATAACATTTCAGAGAAAGATACATTTTAAATTCAAGATGAATTAGTGCCCGAGAAGAAATGAACAAACGGGGAAGGGTGCGGAGAGACTTATCTCTCCTTCTTTGCTTTTGCTTTCTGGAATGCAGATTTCTTATGTAGTGAAATTCTTACTTTTTAAGTGTTACCTGTGAGAAGACCTCAATGAGACATATGTGCCTAGGTTAGTCTGTTAAAAAAAAAAAAAAGGTGGTGGAAGAGACAGGAAATTTACCTGCCTGGTAAATTTCCCGAAAAGGTCCTGCATGTTCTTTAGATTTACAAAATAGTGCTAAGAACACAGATGCTGTTGTGCTTCAGTGGCTCAGACAGTGCAGGGCAGGGTTAAGGGGCAAAATTACTCCTCCAAAAGAATGCATCATGATCTGATATGTTTCTATAATTCCAACATAAGATCAAGTTTTGTTTTTTGCTGTGGTTTTGTTTTGTGATGTTATGAATTAAACCCAAGGTATCCGACATGCTAGTCACATGCTCTACCACTGAGCTACATCCCTGGCCCCTGAGGGACGGATATTGATTTCTTAAATAAGATTTAAGGTTTAAAACTTTTAGAGATCATGAAAGGCGAAACTTATGAACTTGTTAGAAAAAAACAAATTTCTTTTAGAATTTTTTTTTCTAGTTGCAGATGGACACAGTTTCTTTATTTATCCATTTTTATGTGGTGTTGAGGATTAGACCCAGTGCCTCACACATGTGAGGCAGGTGCTCAACCACTCAGCTATAGCCCCAGCCCCAGAAAGACAAATTTTTTTTAGACACTATTTCTATTCCTTGGTCAAATTCCAAAGTAGTAGTCTTTTAATAAAGTCTTTATTTTTGTATCTGGGATAGTAGCCTCATTGTAATTAATTGTGCGTAGGGAAGGACTATTACTACGCTGATCTGTGGAGAGAAATTACTCGAGCTGAAATGAAATCCATGGTGAAGGTTATTAGTCATTGTGCATAGTTTGGCAAGTGCCAATTGTATGCTTGGGACTCTTCAGGAATAAAGAGGGCATGAATGCTTTTTTTAGAGCATTACAATTTATTTTGACTTGGCTGTGAGTTGTTCACCCATGATCAGAAATGCCTTGCTTGTGACTGACTGAGAGACAAGGCGAGGAGTACTCACCTCTCCTGTGTCCTCTCTGTGTCACCTGTGACACTAGGTGGCACTTCTATTGTCTTGATTCATCACCCTTACTCATGATAACCCAGAAGGGTAACAGCCATTAATTTCACTATTTGGTGACTGTCTTATTTGTTTTGGGGATTTTTGCTTTGATTGCTGTTGTTTTTTAATTGAAAAATTTATTCAGATAATTGTAGATTCACATACAGTTGTAAGAATTCAGAGCCAGGTGTGGTGGTACACGCCTGTACTCCAAGAGACTCGAGAGGTTGAGGCAGGAGGACTGCAAGTTCAAGACCAGCCTCAGCAACTGAGGCTCCATCTCAAAAGATAAAAAAGGCTAGGGATGTAGCTTAGGGGTAAAGTGCCCTGGGTCCAATCCCCAGTACAGAAAGAAAGAAAGAAAGGAAGGAAGGAAGGAAGAAAGAAAGAATTCAGAGAGATCACACATACCCTTTACCCAGTTACCCCAAAGGTAACATCTTGCAAAACTTCAGTACAATTCCACAACCAGGATATGGGCATTGATACAATCCATCAATCTGATTCAACTTGTCCCAGTTCAGATCTTGAACTCTTCTCTGTGTACATTGTTTTCACTGATATGAAAATGGAGGGTCGGACTTGCCATCATACTAGGTCTCACTTGCCATCACGGATACACGTTCCCCCACCACCATGATTTGATAAAGAGAGGGCGGAGAGCTGTGCCTGTCTACGAGTCCTCAGATAGCCAGTTGGGGAATCCTGATGACATTGTTCATGTTTCCCATTTCCTGCAGGTGTGGCTTCAGTTGTGGCTTTGCCTTCCACAGGGTCTATGGAGCCATGCTTTAGTGTTAGATGAAGGAGGAGGAGGAGTTTTGGTGACATAACAAAAGGGGCACGGAGCATAGTGATGTCTGTCCATGGCTAAGTGTGGCCATAAGTTAGTGCCAAGCTCAGGGTTCTTTCTCTTTGCCTTCCCATTTTTTTTCGTTGTTGAACACATCAGTGGATACTGGTTAAAGAAGTCCAGGTTGGTCTCCTGAAAAGAGCAAGATCCTTTTATGCCTCTGTTCTAGCACTTGATGTCATCTCAGACCTCCTTGTCTTCCAGATTTTGTTGTTGTTGTTGTTCTGTGGATTGAACCCAAGGGTACTTAACCACTGAGCCATATCCCCAGCTCTTTGTTATATTTTATTTGGAGACAGGGTCTCACTGAGTTGCTGAGGGCTTTACTAAAATGCTGAAGCTGGATTTGAACTTGCAATCCTCCTGCCTTAGCCTCCTTAGCTTCCGGGATTATTGGAGTGTGCCACTGTGTCCAGCTCAAATCATTCTTCTACTTTCTATCTGACAGAACTTCTCTGTGTCATTAGTTCTATTTTCTCTCTATAAAATGAGGATAACCCAGAACATGTGGAGCTTTGGTGACAGGTGAAGGTGACTTTTAAGGCATCAACCCCAGCTGCAGGTGCAGCCTCCCCGGACTTTCACTGCCATCTTATTGTGGACATCACTCATACCTCTTCTTTTCCCAGCTTCTCTTCTGTGATGTTCTTCTTCTTTTTTTTTTCTTTTCCTCTTCCTCCTCCTCCTTCTTTCTTCTTTGTGATCCTGGGGAGGGCATACAAGAGCACTCTACCACCTAGCTACGTCCCATCCCTTTCAATTTTGAAACAAGTTCTCACTAAGTTGCGCAGGCTGACCTCAAATGTCTGATCCTCCTGCCTCAACCTCCTGGGTTGCTGGGATTACAGGTGTGTGCCACTATTCCCAACTCATGTCACTTTCTTTTTAATTCTGGAAGTCAAGGAGGTCTGAGATCACATCAGTTGCTAGAAACAGAGGCATAAAAGGATGATTTTAGTTAAAGTGAGTTGAAGTCTAGGACT